CCCAATTTGATATACCAGCAGCTGACATGGCCGAAAATGCAAAAAAGTACTGGACACATCACTATGGTGACAATCAAAACAAACTTGGATCAACACTGATGAATGTCAACACCTCAGCAGGTAATACAGTAACAACAAAGTCCCAGGATGAGACTATCCTAAATCTGCACAACGTGGTAATACAAAACATGCTGAAAAACTGCCCGAACAATGGGGAAACGAACAACAGCTCAACCACTCATCTGCATGACAAACAAATCAACTGAACTGACAAGAAAACCATAACGGACGTGACAACAGCCAGTCTCAACCAACACACATGACACAAAATGCTCTTCAACTAGGAAGACCGGAATGGTGAAAAAAAATACAAAAAAGCTCAAGAGAAATCATACTTACAAACACCACCGTTGAGATGTCCTGTTGTGTGAAATAAATCGCAACCTCCCTGCTGTCAACAAGTCTTCTACCAAAAAAGCCTCAACGAACAAGAGTTTTTGGCAAGCATTTTAAACAGAAGAACCAGGAAATGTGGTTATTGTTATTTCTGCATGACAACCCCACAAATGGATAACACCACCAAGGGGGAAAAAACCAGTGTTACATCTGAAGAAATTCCATACCTTGTTCTGCAAATATTCCATCTTATAAATAGACCCTTTTTTTTCTTCAAAAATCTGTTCGATCATCCTGTAACAATGAAAGACCTTGAATGTGGACTTTGTCCCTGTGAAAACCTGGGACATCCCAGTACAATGAAAGATCCTGTTTGTGGAAAACAGCATCATTTTCACCGTCTGTACCTGCTTGCAAACTTAACCGAGCACTTTGTTAACAAACCCAAGTCATAGCAAAACTGAAATGACTCAACAATGTTCAAAGCTCAACAACCAAAACTAGTGCTTACCTGAGTAACTTCACAGAAGTCAATAAGCACAGGAAGAAGTCAGGTGTATAAATCACAAGTGCACTGCTTAGCTTCTCAACTGCACATACTGTCCAACACCCGAGATGATCTCCGCCAAGTAACAAATTACACCTAGACTAGTCACGTGCACAACAACTTAGACAGCACATGACAATGAATTGGAAGAAATTTACAAACCACAACTGAAATAAGTAGATTTATTACTTGATTATTTCATCAGAACCTCACTGGTTGGACATCAGGCCTGATTAAAATGGACCTTCACGCAACAGACTAAGAGATTCATATCAAAAGGTCAGGATCCATTTTACCAGCAAAATAAGAAACAGTAGTTTTAAATAAAAAAACTAGATAAAATTTAAAGCTAATACCAATTTAAGATGAAGCTGAACATACAAGAAAGTCCATAACTTCAAAAACATAAAAGCAAATTCCAGAGGACAATGGATTCAAACTTGACAAGCTATCAAACAGTTATTCCTCTGTGAATGCTATTTCTATTCAGATAATGAATGAAGCTGAACCTCATACTGAGTGATTAAAACCTGGTGACAGGAAATGTCACTATTCGGGTGAGAATCCCATATGTACAGATCCCAGAAACCCTGTTCAACCATATCGTTATACGGGAGCTCCCGATGGTTACAAGGTAAACTGAAGTCCAGACATAACAGGGTAGGGTTTGTTCACAGCTAAGTTATTTGTGATGTATCAGAAGCGTTCACAAAATTAACTGCTTTCCCAAAAATAGAAGGGAGTGGTGAACAGAAACTACATATTGTACCACACCACTGAATTTTCAGTGTTCACTAGACAAACCTGGTTAACAAAAATAGCTTCAGTATTTTAAAATAAGCTGCACCTTTTCCCCAATAAAATAATAGCTGAAAATAGTTCCTCTATTAGACTTTATATGTCCTAATGAGTTAACAAACATACATCCTGGTAAATTTGATATGCTTTGTTATAATATTGTTTGCACTATTTTTTTTTTAAAACAAATCCAGCTACCATTGATGCATTAATTTTATATAAATATGTAGATTTGAAATGTGACTGAACATTAACATTACATCTTCAACCATTTCTCTGTCACAATGTGTCCCGCCCTGCTTGCCAATATTTCACTGGTGTCCACATTTAACACCACAAATGTCTTCAACTCCAGTCATTACCTCCTGGTGACAAGTGCAGCCATTAGAATTCTGTTCAGCAATGTCGGAAAGTATTATACTATCCATCACAATTCTGGAAAAATATAGTCTAATTTAGCCTGACTTTCTAAGTTAAATGAGGAGTGGTTGGCCAAACGGATAAGAACATTGGGTTTCCACGTGGGAGACTCAGGTTCCCCAGTAAGGCTATGTGATTTTTCTATCTTGGACAAAAAACTCTTTTATCATTAGTCTGTGGCGACTGCACTAGCCATGCTGCTTTTAATCCTCAGTCTCAAAGACCCCCTGCCTGCATTGTGAAAATGGTAAATACACCAGGCAATTGCAAATTTTTTTTTTTTTTTGGCAATGATGTGTGCGACTAAGAAAGTTGCTAAATATACATTTATGTAAGTAAGTACACTACACTTTTTTTTAGTGGACTTACTCTCAGCAGAAACCAGGTAGGTTGAGTTCATAAAAAAAAAAGAGAAAGATTTAGAAATACATGTCAAGTGCGTGCTGACATAATTAGGAGCTCAGAATTCACAATCCTGTACTAATCAAATTATTGTAAAATGAAATGCTTTTGATTTGGCAGCATTACAACCTACAATAAAAGAAATATTTTGCAGCAGAAACAGAAAGACAAGCAAAAACGAGAACCTTATATTTCCATCAACACCCCAATCGATCACAGAAGAAAAGAAGAAGACGATAGTTAAATAAACATATATGAAAATGTTCTAAATCAGACAGCAGCTGAGAGGACGAAACAGTCGCTGTCAAATGTCTAAAGACTACATCCAATACAATTTTGAGCTTAGAGAATACAAAGAAGAAAGCAAAACAGCAATAAAGAAAAATATCATTAAATATACTGGATTAAATGAAGAAGTAAATTCTACAAAAACTGAAGTAAACATCGAAGAAAACAACAGATTGATTGCAGCTGCAGAAAATTTAGACAATATGGGAACAAATCAACACAAAATGCCAATTAACGAGAAGGTAACAGAAAACACTTAAATAAAGAAAGGTCTGTTCAAAAGAATGCTTTAAACCTTGACACTACACTGAAGGGAGTTGCTGAGACCACCATTCAATGTTTGAGTGATAATCCAACATCACATTCACCAGACAACTATAACTATCTTTTAGTTGTCAACTCATCATCCTCATTTCAAAAGCTCTCAAAATGTCAATTTTCATCAGTGAAGAGCAAGTCTTCAATAACCCGAGAAAACAAACATGGCAAAACACCAAAAGAAATCAGTGACAAATTATACCTGCGGCCTTCATATTTGTGGCTTACAGGGACAAACAAATAACCAAAATACAGATGCATAGACATTAAAAACCGTCACTCAATAAGTTTCAAATTAACGCAGAGATACTGCTGTACCTATATTCAGATCAGCACAACCTCAAAGCAACAAACCACATGACATTATGCTCCTGGCAAACAGTGTTCCTCGGTCACCAACTTCCACATTTTTTTTTTCTCTTTAACTCTTTCAGGACCAGAAGATGTCCATGAGTTCCTAGGGGAAGAGAAGGAGCTGATTACTATGAAAAATCTTTGCTTTTGAAGAGGCCAGATAACAGATAATGATGTGACAACAGGAAAAGCCAGACTTTTTTTAAGTACTTTGTGGCCAAATATAAGAGGTTAATAGAATGATGCAAAGGTTGGAATGTATGGGAAATAACACCTCTTGCTGCGTTTCTTGGTACTGAAAGAGTTAATATCCGCACCTCTTAAGTGGTGATTTTTTTTTTTTTTGGCAGGGTAACAATTCAATTTCTGCTGCTGATCCAAGGATTTATGAATCACCTGCCTGAATAAGATTGATCAATAAAGCAGACAATGCAGTTTTCGTTACCAAGAGGTAATCATGCTCCACAGATCTCCAACAGCAACCTGAACTTTCAGAAGAGTAGGAAAACCACCAGGGATTGCCTAAACCATACCAATCTTCAATTTCTCCAACCACAATATGAAAAACTGGAAAACAAAGACCAAATCATCCTCAAAATACCAAAACTTTATTTACTGTCACAAGTTAGTGAGAGAAAAGACCAAAATAATTTCAAATCTTCCAAATTTGACATAACTCGATACTAAAACACTAAAGTAACAAATAAAAAAAAAAGAGAGACAGAACATCTAGACATCCATATGGTATAAAGCAATAAATGGGAGGGTACCGACAATGGAAATTCAAATTTACATTCAGAAAGATATTTAATGCTACATTAGAATACTAGAAATTCAACAATCATGATAAAAAGACAAAAACAGTTGATAAAACAATTTCACTAATGCGGGTGACAAAGAAGAGGTTTAAAACTAAAATTCCTTTCACATATGCACCAATTAATAAAAGTTATAACTGCTACCATATTAATAAAGTATACTTAAAATGTGGCAACATCTGAAGATTACATATAACCTCTGTACAAAATGGTCCCAATTGTTTCCGAACAGGGAAGAACCGAAATGCAGAATATACAGAAAGCACATCTGCTCAAATCTTTGACCGGTTCAAAACCAGGACTCAAATATCCAACTGAAAATTGTGTATTCCTACAGCCCAAATCAACAATGTTTTCAACCAACAACTGCCAATTTTCAACGGTGATAGAATACAAAAACTCAGGAACCACATATACCACCTCATTCAGATGCCCCACTTTACACATTCCAAACTTAGACAGGAAGACACCAATTTCTTTCGGGCCAATTAAAAAAAAAAAAAACAGGATAAAATGAAACACGTATGACAAAAAAAAAAAAACAGGAAAAACAATGTGTGCAGTTGGGAAACAATCCTCCAAGAACACTTTACAAATCCTCAAGACCACCGTGTGACGCGAGAGACATAATCTCCTCTTACTCACTGGTCAGTAGGAAATTAGTTTCGATGCATCGAGACACTGATGTTTCGGCCCTCGACTCTTGATTTGTGTTTCAATGCTGTTTATATGTTAAGGTAAATATGTCTCGCTGCTAAAAATTTTATCTTTTAGACACAATATTTATTTCACTGCAAGTAACAAAGAAATGCTTCAAACCTGCTACTGCATAAACAAAAGCTATTTAACTGGTAGCCCACGGATCACCAACTCTATTGTTTTAGTGATCTTCTATGCTCAGACTGGGTGCTCTGGCCCTGACGATCCCCCTTTTCTAACATTTTGGACCCTGGGTAAATCTGAATGGCAATGGCACAAACAGATCAACATTTTGGATATTAGCTAAGCACTGATTATTGATATCACTAATTAAAAAAAAAAAAGATGATCACAGTCCTCAACATTTAATACCTGGTACCCATTTTAGTAAGGGTCTGCCTCAATGCAAATTCAAATACAACCTGTGCCAGCAAGCCAGCCCCTACACTACAGCAGGACTCTAACTGCAGCTTTGTACGTTAATAATCCCTTGGCCCTGAGATGATGCGAATCTGGCACCGTCATCTATTACTAATCCCCATTAAAGCAGCTAAACTGGTATTTTCTGCATTTGCCTGTTCCCGGTGAGCCTAGTGGCACTAGTTCTATCTGTACCTGCAGTGCTTTGAAGGATCAGGTATGCTTATGTATACCCCCCCTCCCAAAACATGAGGGGGTGTGGGGGAGGGGGGGGGGGGGGAGCTGACATAATTTGCCTCTATTACTAGTGGTCACATACTGACAGCATTTGTTCATGGTGGGAGTCACTATATACATTTTTCAAGGCTCAGGTGGAAAATAATTCATTTAATTATGTGCTAATATCATGTTTACTGGTTACCCATCTTCATAAATCTCCAAAAAATGTGTCGTGCATGCAAATAAAATGTTGAAAATTGTATTAACCCCTGTGTAAAATGGCTGTTTTTTTGTGTTTTGTTTTGTTTCAGAACTGTTGTCCTGGGAATTCCCAGGTCCATGGATTTTTTCCTTATGGAGTACTGAAGTAAAAATCAAAGCTTAAAGGCATATGACCATTTTTCTAATGAGTGAACAGTACATGTGATACCTTACCTGATATGACCCTAAAACCTTACAATCAGATAAAACTGAAAACTGCAGACCGAACCGCCAATGTTTTGTTTGCACATAGTTTTGTGTTAAATCATAGAGCAAATTATCAGATTATTCTCGTAAAAACAACATTTAAAAAAAAAGAGCTGCGTCCTATAAACAGTAAATTGTCTTTTGTTTAAAAAGGATACCGACTGCTCTCACAGCATCATTTTCATTGCTGAATCTCACATATCCCACACCAGTAGATTTTCCGTTTTCCATGACAATTTCTGCAAACTTCACATCACCTGGATGAGAGGTGTCAATCATAAGCATTTAATTTGTTCAAAGCATAATAAACACAAATCACACACCTCTGCTAACGTAAATTCAAGTCATCATTAATATGCTCATTTATAATTAAATTATGTCCATATTCTCAAAAAGGGCACACAAATTATTTAAGAGACCAGAGTTCATTTGACCGAGTTAGGGAAGGTGTGATTTTGTATTGCTGTCTAGAATAAAGAAATAGCAAGGAGAGAATACCAACAAAAGAAGACTTAGTAAATGTACTACTGCTCATTGGCTGAATTCTTCTTAAGCCTACCAGACCTGAGGCCCTTAACCTATCTCCTATACCTGGGCTTCTGAGCATTCAAAAGAGAAAAAAAAAAATACAATATAGAAAAATTTTTGTTACTTGTAAACAAGTGGTTAGAATAAGAAGGAACTTGGAGACACTGTAGAAAATAGGTCTACTCTTCATCTAGCGCCAATATTTCACCTTTGTTTGCCAGTTCACTTAGCAAGATGAGCATTGTTGATGTTCCTTTTCACCTTCTTGCACAGATTGTCTTTGTAAGACACTCCAGGATTTTGCTTGGTGTACCTGCAGTGCTTATCCATGCACACAGCAGACATAATTAGACGACGCCCTAGAGGAAATCTCTGGAAAATGATTCCCTGTGGCTTTATCCGTTGAGGGCGAGATTCCTTTTGTGGGTGGCAACTGGTGCGCATGAAAGTTGGATTTCTCCGTCACGTGTTGCCAGAAAGTATCATCCAAAAACAAGGAAAAAAGTCAATGGGTTCACTCTCGTATGTGATAGATCAAGGAATGTTCACTGGGACTCTTCCATCCTCATTAAAATTAAGATCTGTATTTGGTGATACAAAATTCCTTGTCCAACTTTCATCATTGCTGATCACATAGCGTGACAACAGTATGTATTTTATTTTTCCATTAGAATTAGAAATTTACCTGAATCCCGGAAATGCTCCTTCAGAGTTTGCCAGTTGACACTATATGGAAGCTGTCAAACAGAATAGTAATGTTTGAAATGAAAACAGAATGTGTTAAAAAGATGGCACGTCATGTTTTACTATTCAAAATATAAACAATCACAGAATTTTGTAACATATTTTACATCAGTTATTTTTTTCAAAATTGTTTTATGTTAAATAAATATTCTTCTTAAAGTCCAATGCCGTGTGGCACTGGTATTCATGTCTATCCATAACCTTCTGTCTCGTGTACTTTCAATCAACTCGACACAGATGATCTTCCATGCCTTGATGTCAAACTGTCCTGCATCTGTTCTCTCAATCTCCCTCTGCCTCTCCTCCCTTCCAACTTTCCTACAGTCACGATGTACTCATTTTCTCCTTCTCATCACATGACCAAAGAATGTAGATTTGTCTCTTTCTGATGTGGACAATCAGCTCTCTTCGTGAGTCAGTTTCTTTCAAGATGTCTTCATTACTCTTTTTATCTGTAGTTATAACTTTTATTAATTGGTGCATATGTGAAAGGAATTTTAGTTTTAAACCTCTTCTTTGTCACCCGCATTAGTGAAATTGTTTTATCAACTGTTTTTGTCTTTTTATCATGATTGTTGAATTTCTAGTATTCTAATGTAGCATTAAATATCTTTCTGAATGTAAATTTGAATTTCCATTGTCAATTTCTGTAAAGGATACGCAACTTTGAAAAAAAAAATCAAATATTTTGTCAAATACAATTTGTGTTTCCAGATGACATCATTCGGTGCAACGAATATTGTGCGCGAGAATTACATGCCGACATTTAAAGTGCAAGGCCAGATTTATCATCGTGATGGCTCCTTACTACCACTGCCCGACGCAGATTACAAATTTCTTCGGATTTATTTCATGGGGAACACTGATCAACAAATTAATCAAAGTTGTCGATTCAATAAGGGGACACAACGAGACATAGTTGCTGCTTTACAAAATTTATTTGATCAACACAACAAATTAATTAGATTGTTCAGAACTGCTCTTCAACAAATGCCAGCTGATGACTACAGAGTTGTACTCAGAGCTGACAAAACACCAGTTGGCCAACATGAAAGACAGTACAATGCACCAACAATTGATGAAGTGGCAATTGTTATGGTTGGCGAAGACTTCAACTCGCGAAATATAATTCTTCATCGCAGAAATGATGATGTTCAGCGAGTCTCAGAAACTCATCGCTCATATGACGGATTGCAATATCCAGTTTTATTTTGGCAAGGAGAAGACGGAAATCATTTCAACATCAAATTGAGAAATCCACAAACACGTGAGGAGATGATTAAGAAAGTCAGTGCCATGAATTATTATTCATATCGATTTATGGTTCGTGAATACGCTAACAATCATATCTTGAAATGTCGACAATTGTTCCGCCGATACATTGTCGATATGTATGCAAAAACTGAAACTGAGCGACTTCTCTATATTCGATTAAATCAAACCAAGTTGCGTACAGAGGAGTACATTCAGTTACGTGATGCAGTTGTTAATGATGGCAATGTTAATCCCAATGAGTTGGGGAAAATGGTCATATTACCAGCCACATTTACAGGGAGTCCACGACACATGCATGAGTATGCACAAGATGCACTGACATATGTTCGCGTACATGGCTGTCCAGATTTATTTATCACGTTCACATGCAATCCTACATGGGATGAAATAAAAGAACTTTTATTATCTGGACAATTATCATCGGGTCGTCATGATATTACAGCGTGTGTGTAAACAAAAATTGAAATCTTTAATAGATTTCATTGTCAAGTATCGTGTTTTTGGAGAGACCCGCTGTTGGATGTATTCCATCGAATGGCAAAAAAGAGGATTGCCACATGCACACATTTTGATTTGGATCATCAACAAAATCACACCAGATCAGATTGATCAGGTTATCTCAGCAGAAATACCAGATGTCAACATTGATCCAGACTTATTTGCAGTCGTCACCAAAAACATGATTCATGGTCCATGCGGCTTACTAAACAATAATTCACCATGCATATCTGATGGAAAATACCCAAAAGACATGCATGCCGAAACTATCACTGGCAATGACGGATATCCTCTCTATCGTCGACGATCAGTTGAAGATGGCGGCAAATCAATCATTTTAAAAGTGCGAAACAATGATGTTGATGATGATAATCGTTGGGTTGTACCGTATTCACCGTTACTCTCAAAGACGTACAAAGCACACATCAATGTTGAGTATTGCAATTCGGTGAAATCAATAAAGTACATTTGCAAATATGTCAACAAAGGAAGCGATATGGCAGTCTTTGGAGTGGGACATGCAGCTGCATCTATCGACGAAGTCGAGCAATATCAGCTGGGGCGCTACATTAGTAGCAATGAAGCAGTATGGCGCATTTTGTCATTTCCAATTCATGAACGACACATAAGCAGTTGTTCATTTGGCAGTGCACCTTGAAAATGGACAGCGCGTGTACTTCACTACAGAAAATGCACATGCACGAGCATTGTTACCACCGCCAACCATGCTAACTGCATTTTTCTCATTGTGTCAAGATGATATGTTTGCAAAGACACTACACATTCTACACGTGGAATGCATCAGCTAAAAAGTTTCAACGTCGCAAGCAAGGTCAAGCAGTTGAAGGACATCCTAATTTATATTCTACTGATATTTTAGGCCGTCTGTTCACTGTTCATCCCAAAAATGCAGAATGCTTTTTCTTGCGATTACTTTTAATCAACAAACATGGACCCACATCCTTCCAGGACTTGAGAACAGTTTATGGTAAAGTATGTGCTACTTACCGTGAAGGTTGCCAAGAATTAAATCTTCTTGAAAATCATGCACATTGGGACACTTCTCTCGCTGATGCTTCGAATACTGCTCGACCACAGCAAATACGCACATTATTTGCAATAATATTAACAACTTGCTTCCCATCCAATCCACATTTTAACCGTGAAAATTGGCGTGCCCATCATTCTTCTCAGAAACATCAATCCGCCACGTCTTTGCAATGGTACCAGGCTTTCAGTGAAAAGGCTGATGCTCAATATCATCGAAGGTACAATTTTAAATGGGAAATTTAAGGGCGAGAATATACTTTTGCCACGCATCCCAATGATTCCAACAGACATGCCATTTGACTTCAGATGCTTGCAGTTTCCGGTGCGACTCGCCTTTGCAATGACCATAAACATATCACAGGGACAATCCCTACAGGTGTGTGGACTACGTTTGGAACATCCAAGCTTTTTACATGGACAGCTATATGTGGCCTGTTCACGCGTCAGAAAACCTTCTAATTTATTTGTGTACGCGCCAGACGGAAGAACAATGAGCATTGTTTACCCAAAAGCACTTCAGTAAACACTTTTTTAATGTTAAATTACCGGCACAATGATCCAATATAATTACATTTTGTTAAAGCGATTTTCCTTTCAATTCACTTTCTATTGTATCAACGCGTGCAGGGCTGTTTACGGCAATTAGCAAATGTGCTCATTTCGTAATTGTGGTGTATTTTTCCTCTTTTCGTTGCTTTTCACTAGGGTAATTTTTCCAACTACTTCGATGAAGGAGAAAGTAGTATGTGAACTGGGGGATGGGTGGTTACAATAAACTGTTTACTGAGATAGATTTAAGTTACAGTAACTGCCTTACCCACTCAAAGTTTTATTAGCTAGGGGTTTAGCTGTTGCACTGTACATCGCTAGCGTGAAGCGAAGACACATTTCTATGTTCTCTATTTTCCATGTAGCCAAATTACGCCACAGCAACGCGTGGCCAGGTACAGCTAGTAAACAAAATAAATCTATAAAGGAAGCTATCACAAGTCTTCACTGGATAAATCAGAAAGGGGAAGGGAAGGAAATAACCAGAAGCTATTAGCAAAGCAAGACCTCAAATTTAGACAACCCAGCATCAACAAATTAGCCCTTCAATACCCCTGGTAATGAATGGCTCATGCCTTCATATTTTGAGCTTATAAACATTAAAATAATATGTTAAAATTTCAGATCAAATTTTGAAAGTGCAACTTACATTTTTCACTACAAGTGTGCAGTTGTCAGCACGAGTTGTTCTCCTGTTCCCATCATCTCTGCCGCCCATGTTGCCGTAATGATCTCTCATCTTGTCTGGCATTCTATCACCCAGCCCGCCCATTCTATCACCAAGACCCCCCATTCTATCACTCAGCCCACCCATTCTATCCCCGAGCCCACCCAACCTGTCACCTAGCCCACCTAACCTATCCATGCCCATTCTATCCCTGCTCATACCCATATCATTCATACCTAGCCTGTCACCACCCACACCCATTCCTGATGACAATGAACTGAGACTCGGTCCTAGGCCACCAAGACCTGACAGACTGCCACTTCCATTATAATTTGAACCTCCAAGCCCAGGATAGTTGTCAGACAGCCCGCCCATTTTTGATCCACCCAACCCACCTAGGCCAAGATCTGACCCGCCCATTCCACCACCATAGCCCATACCACCTGAACCCCCACCATGACCACCCGAACCACCTAGTCCCAACCCTCCCAGCCCGCTGCCTAATCCACCTCCAAGGCCGCCCATACCTAGCCCCATATCAGCTCCTCCACCAACTCCTGCCCCTAGGAGACCAAGCCCTGATCCTCCATAACCACCACCACCAAGGCCACCCATCCCCAAGAGACCACTGCCTCCTAATCCAAGTCCTGAAAAAAATAGGATCACATTAAATAACCAGAAGAAAGTAAACAGTGGTAATGTAATAAAGCAACAAAAATATGTTCAGCTGTATATTTATTTTTACAATACAATGGTACCTCATGCGTCCTGTTTAAGACACACATATTGTGCTTTCTATATGACTTGCATGCCAGTCAACAGCAACTCACGCCACTATTTTATTTAAAGAAATGTTTGTCAAATGGGTAATTGTCAAAAACTTTGCAAAGAAGCAATGACCAGACACTGTCATATTTTCCTAAAATCTCGAGGGAAAGGCAGAAGCAAAGTTCTTTGGACAGATTTTTAGTAAAAGTCAAACCTTGCGAGGATCAAACAGGTCCAAGTAGGGAAAACAGACAGGGAAAAAATCAGACTCCTGAAGTTGATGGGAGGAGACGCCCCTTATATTCAGCACCATTCTTGTAGGTACAGGACTCAGAAAGGTGAGGTGAGGTTACATTTTCATTCATTTCATACAATTGATTTTTATTTATTTATTTTTTTTAATTAAGTAGTGTTTGAATTATTTTCGCAAACCCACCAATGTATAATGTGCTTATCACAAAAGGATTTTATCTATAAGAACTTCCTGATTACAATACATACTTTGACATAATTTGTGTCCATTTTGTTTTTACCATAGCTGTCAAAATTGTAAATATAATAAATGGTACAGCTAAAAATACGCTAACATGTACACAAATTTGTATTCATTATAAAATAATGGAGAGGGGATATTTTACAAATTCTATCAATTAAGCAAGGTATATAATACTGTGGTATTTACAAAAGTGCACTGGGTTTAGCAGGTAAACGTGCCATTTCTACTGCTGAAGTGTGCAGCAGTGGAAAGATAAGCACATGATGATACTAACACATTGTACATTACTCATCCAATGTATTCGAGTGAATGAAACTTACCACCTCCAAGTTGACCAATGTTTGTCAGTGGAGCACCTCCTGAACCAAGACCCATACCAATTGACTTCAGACCACCTAGAAATTATTTAACATATATTTTTTATTAATAAGAGTTGAAAGATATTAACATTCTGCACTATGCAGTTGACGCAGTGCTGACAGTTGAAAGAGCGCAAGATCTGCAACACCTGTAGTAGCAAAGCACACACAAAAAAGGTATCCTTGAATGTCAAGAATACAGATGCGGTGGTTATTCAAAGTAACAGATAATACCGCAAGGTGGTATGACAACAGAGGGTACAATACAAGTCAACATATTCAAATTTTTGGGATAAATCTTAACATTAGATAGAAGATGCACGTCAAGACACGGTAAGCATACCAAAGCTGCATTTCAGAAATGCTAAAAAATACCTTAACCAGTCGCTGTAAATAAATGTCAGAAGACAGCACTAAAATGTTACGTTCTGCTATATAGCAGTGAACTCTATGTAACAAGCCAAAGAAGAAATCAGACAGGATCTTAAGGGCAGATATACTTTGGAAGCCCAATTGACTTAAAAAAAATAATGAATGTGAAACACCACACAACTGCTAGAACAACTTTTTTGGTCATGTGATAAGAAAAGCATGAGAGAGTATCAGACGACAAGAGCGATCATACATACAATAGGCGGTATTAGACCCAGATAAATCATGCTGCTACATGGAGGGATATCACCAAAAGAACTGAGATCACCAAGAAGTGAGATCTGTGAAGAGATATGAACACCTTAACCTTACTCCATCTGGTAAGACACTTGATACATTTTACTAGCCATTGAGGTGAAGCAGAAAGAACATAGACAAAATAAGCAATATCAATACACTTTCATGCCAATAAGATGACACAATGTTAACTTACTTGGTAGTCTCGGCTTGTCCTGTTCCCCACCTTTGTCAACACGCACAATCATGTTTCTCTCGTACAGCAGTTGTCCATTAAACATAGCTATATTAGTTAAGGGCCATGCCTTGTGCCTCTAGGAATATTCTACATTAAGTGAACAACCTTTCATCCAAAAATTCTCTTAACGACAGGATTTGTCACGAACAGTAGATGTTATGACAGATAAGCAAAGTGTCGATGGTGACATCAAGTCATGATTGCATTTACATGAACATAAGGATTAATACAATTATGACATTATTCTTTGCACTGTCATTCGAGGAAAAAAACAAGTCAAATATTTGTAAACATGCTTCTTAACAGCATTTTGTTGGATGTTTACTGGCACCAGAACACAACAGTTATGGTGGTTACCTATTTGCAGTGAAGTTGAAACCTTGCCTACAATTACTACTACTAAATTAGCATAGACATGGAAGCCCTGAGCATATATGGCTAGTGGCATGTGATCCTAAGTTTGAATCCCCATCAGATCAACACAGCCTAAAATGGGCACTAGAAAAAGCTATACAGGGCACTGATGACCAGTATGGTATTGCAAGTTTTATTCAATTAAAGGTTTTCTGTTAAAAGGATACACACTGCTTGAACTGCTTCCATTGGGTGCTCAAAAGTAACAACACCCATTCCCCTGGACTTTCCATTTTTGTCCTCTTTTATTTCGGCCTTGATGACATTGCCAGCGAGCTTGAAAACATCCTTTAGTTTCCACCAAGTAACACTGTAATCCAGCTAAATGGAATAAAAACATGTTAAATTAAGGATATGAAAATATAACCAAATTAAAAATATCAATTCCACCATCTGTGTTTTCTCGGCAACTACATGTGCAGGTGGTGGTGAGAGAGAGAATAAAGACGCTGTCTCCATAACAAGATGTTGAAAAAAGGTAACAGATTTGAAGTTTGCTGACATCAAATGTGTTAAGTCAAAAGGTGCAGATTTCACAGCCTAGCTGTAAATCACAATTTGATGTGTCAAAAAAGATTTTTTATCAATTAATGAAACAATATAATGTTTTTCAGTCAATGTTTGCACAAGTATTAATAATCTAACATTCTACAACTGTGTGTGTGCAAAAAAGATTACCTATGTACAGGTAAAAATAATTATTATTTAAGCTTTGCATAGGTTGGACATGCGGTTCTCTGTGTGGGATGCTATCCCTTCGAGTCAGAGTGCATCTGCCTGAGAGACGAGGAGCCAACAGTCTGCAAACAAATAAGCCAATCTGTAAAACAAATGTGCATACAGATGTAAAGTTCTGGAACAATACCAAAGTCCACAAGTGGACCAACAACCAGAGCTTACCACCAGTGAACCTTAAACAGACGCAGGACACAGTGAATATACTGCACCATTTGAACATTAAAATTTTTAGAAGAATAGTTTAACCTTTAGCACCCCACAATAAAAATTCAAATTATTTCCCTTGCCTCCCACCTTATTTTTTCACATTTCGCGTTTTTTATGGAGGAAACATGGAAAACACAATAACTTTTTTGTTTATGAATAGTTTTTCATAATTATTTAAACTGAAATAAAGAAATGATTTATGCATACATTGATATGAGTTTTGTTGGTGTATGTTTGATAGGTGATGTGTGAGGACAGAGTGAAATGGGAAAAATGTAAAAAAAACAGTACAAACATAAAGACTCACCAATTAGTCATGCAGCTCCTCACAGCAATCTATCTTGTAATTCACAAAAGAATGGTATCTCCCAAAACAGGGATGAGGGCACAAACTAACATGGCAAGTGGCACAGACATATGTCGTTTGGTGACGCTTTTTATGTCTGTCTGAGCACACCGCACAGTCACCAAGTGCATGTTTGCCAGTCTTCAATCGCTTTGGATTGAGAGCAGGATAGTGTGAAGCCGATATTCTAGCAGCTGGATCACTGGCTCTTCTACCATGGAAGCTGCTGCTGGCTCTAGGCTGGTTCAAAGCAAGAAGCCCACGAGCAATCTCCACACGGAATTTCTCCGCCTTGACTCGGCCAGGATATTTGGCCCTCCACAGGACAAGCGAGTTCACAAAACAAGCTTCTAAGAGATAGAAGTAAATTTTTTTCCACCACTTGCAGGTCCTGTGGGCTAACAAATAGCATGTTAGTTGCTTGTCAAGACGGTCCACACCTCCCATATGACGAGTATAGGACTCTACAGCACATGGCTTAGTCACGACCCGCACATTGGCAACATGATGTTTGGATCGGACGTGATTCTCAAAGGTGTTGTCATCGTGTGCAGTTGTTATCAAATTGAGAGGCCTCTTGTCACACCATGAAATGTAGAGAAGGTTATCATCTCTTGCAGTGATGGGGTGTTCACCAACCTTAGGTTTTGCAGCCTTGACAGCTGCGGGTACTCCTCTGCGATTAGATCGCAGTGTGCCACAAGCGCCCGTCTGATTTACGGCAAGCTCCTTGAAAAGGACTGGAGAGGAAAAGAAATTGTCCATGTACACAACATGACCCTTTCCATACAGAGGGGCAACCAAGGAAGTCACAACTCTATGTGCCAAACCTTGGGTAGGGTCAGGGGTGTCTTCCTTCCCAAGGTACAGCTGCCAATTCCAGAGGTAGCCCGTCTTGGAGTCAGCCAGCGCCCAAGCCTTCATACCCCACTTAGAGGGTTTCATCGGCATGTACTGCATCAGATTAGTCCTGCCCTTGAAAGCTATCATGCTTTCATCAACACTGAGTTCCTTAGAGGGAGTGAAATGCCTCTGGAACAGAGGAAGAAGAGCATCAACAAATGGTCTAATCTTGAAAGCTTTGCTATACCCAGGGTTCCCTCGTGGTACAGCAGTTGTGTTGTCCGCGAGGTGCAGGAAAGACAGGATAGCCTGAAACCTGTTCCTACTCATAATCTCCCTGAACCCAGGCATCTCTAGCAGGCTTTCAGTAGTCCAATATAAGTCATATGAGGAACGAGGTGCAAGTCCCATAAGGAGCGTCACAGCAATAAACGATCTCATATCATCATCTGTGACTTCCTTCCACTTCTTGAAAGAATGGGACAAACTAGCGTCTGCCCCCTTCTTGGCCCTAACCTGCCCCTGGTAACGGTTAGTCTCGGTCACCAACATGTTCAATATATCATCTGTAATAAACAGACGAAACATGTCGACCTCACTAATATTATCAGGTAGGCCTATAGGTCCCACAACTTCAGAGAAGTCGCGAAGCCAAGAATGGTTGTAACCAGAGGGAGCACGACTACTTACCACCTCAATTTCCTCATCCGAAGAATATGACACACTGGAAACTTCACTTACGTCTCCAGACATATCAACTTCGTGACTAATATCGGCTGCAGTAACAGGCAAAATCTCCTCGTCAGAGTCAGAATCCATGAAAATTTCAGAATAAATGGCTTCCATTTCGAAAGATGGTGATCAAAATCGTACTGGCTCAGAAAAATCGTTCACACAAATCTGCTCCCGGTCTCTTAGCAATCAAAACAAGACAAAGAGGAAGTGAAACCACTCCAGAATAGTTATTTATAGCTTTCAAGTGACGTCAAACGCATAGCTCCGTTTAATTGCGTATTTTCCCGACCATATAAGGTTGTCGACTATACTCGACTGTGGGACGCTACGGGATAAGCGGCGGAAGTCCAGTATACTCGACTGTGGGGTGCTAAAGGTTAAATAAACACACAAACACAACTGCTATACTCACATTTGCCACAAACACTGTGCTAGTGATGGGTCCTTCAATGCCCAGCTGCTGCAGGATCTGAGGATTGACACCCACAGGATGTCCAACAGGCCCTAAACCAAGCCCACCTCCACCTCCCATAGAAGGGCCACCACCCATTCCCATTCTTCCTCTCTCATTCACATTCTTGTTTTGTGCAAATTCTTGACGGTCCTTTTCTCTCTCCTGGTGATAAATGAAGAAGTTTAATTGATATTTTGACATGTTAAAATACAAGGTGGCTTAAAAAGTTAATGATATGAAGTCCGCTCTAGACTTGATAAACTATACCGAATGTTTCCACTTGTTTGGGCTACAATTTCTAATTTAATCAATGTTACTATAAAATATTCTCGCCTGCGGATTGGAAGGCTGTGGGTTTGGGACCTGGCAACAGGCCAGGCTTTAAAAAAAAAACTTTGGCTACCAGGTCGACCCAGCTTTGAGTGGGTACCAGGTACAGTCCTAGGAAGTAAAGATGGTCGGTGTGATGCTAACAGCATCACCCACTAAGTGCACCTGGTCTATAAATTGTAGGCCTAGCCCTATATGCCTAATGCGTCTCAAGGTGCGGAAAATTGTCATTTTTTTTTCTTTTGCTACAAAATATATTTATTAATTTTGAAGGACACCGCCCCCCTCCCAACTTAATCACACAAATAAAAAACAAATGTAGCAGATCCATATTAAATGAGTCATAAAAGTGGTTTAAATTCTAAAAATTAATATTTCCATTGCAGCAACATGTAGCAAATATAAATAGATGTGTAATACAGTCGAGTCTGGATAAGTAGAAGTCGCAGGGACCTAAGAAAATGCTTCCACTTATCAGAATTTCTACTTATCCAGACAGTACACACAATAGAGTAAATTGTCGGGACTAAGCTGGTCATGTCGGTTTAAACCGACTTAAGTGGACTCGACTCTGTGATGAGTAAAATCTGCATAAACCTTCAGTGAAGAAAGCTGGCAAATTTCAGTTTTTTTTTTTTAAGAAACATTAAATTTGAAGACTATAATTATTCAACTGGAAATACGTACCTCTCTGACAATAATGGCCCTATCTTTGATTTTCTTCTGATGAAACTCCTCAATTGCCTTTTCAGCATGCTGGGGATCTCTGAATTCCACTACACTGTATTTTGTGTGTGTGAAAAAAAAAAAAAGAATACATTTCTCAGCTCCATTAAAATAGTCTGCTAACACAATTATGTAAAGACCAAAGAATTATAGTAAACTTTGCAAATCATAATGTGAAATGTAATGACAAAGATGTATATATTAAAGTCAAAGATTGTTTCTTAAGGGAAATAACATCACAATCAATAGTACAAAAGCAACAGCTGAAAATTCCATACACCAACTGGAACTATGGCTCAACAAGTCAGCAGTTTTTTCTTCTGTTTCTTTATGTTTGCCGGCTGTGAACTATAGAGGACCTTTCTGGCTGTTCATCCACTCCTTGGTCTTATTTCAGTAACTGAATTTTGCATGCATGTCAGTTTTACTGGCTTATTTGTCTGCAGACTGCTGCTTCTTCACCATCTCAGGCAAACGCACTGAGACTTCAGACGAAACACCTGATTATTAAACTTAAGACATGCTTGCTATAGTGTAGTGGGCTTATTCTACCCCCAAAGTGGGGTCCCAGAACCCATACAGGAACTGTCAAGTGTGTAATAAACAATGAAGATGAGATGCCTAAATAATAAAACAAAAACAACCAATGCAACATTCATCAATACAAACAGCTTTAGACACTAAAAAGGTAAGAAAATCAGGGGCAATCGGTTTTACATTTACTCTTGATTGTTGATGAATTGTGGAAAAGCTTGGTCAATAAATGTGAGTGTAAAAAAACTCTTTAAAATGTGGCTGTACAATGTGTAAAAGAAATACCCTGGCAGAAAAAATAAAACCAGACAATAGCCAAACAAATTACTTTAGCCATAAAAAAAAAAAAACCACAACAGTCAATAAAGGGTGGGGTTGTTTCTGCAATGTCATGTAAAGGATACGCAACTAACATTTTTCTCTCTGTTGTTAAAAAAACATGGTAGAAAGATGGTCAGGAAAGTGTGCACAAAATTATATACGGGTAAATGACAAGAGAAAACAACGAAGGTAATTATTATACAAAAATTTTTTTTTTAAATAAATAGTGCGTATATATCTTCTTCTTCTTCGCATTAACCAGCTGTAAACTCTGGTAGAAAGTTTTGGTAGTTCGTCCACTTCTGGACTCCGTTTGACAGTTCTGAAACATTTGTGTGCAGACTGTTGGTTCATTGCTTCTCAGGCAGATGCACTCTGACTTTGAAGGAAGCTCCCAAATTGGTCGACTTTTACAACATGCTTTTGGGTAGGCAGTGGGTCTATTCTTGTTTTCCCCATAATAGGGCCCCGGAACCCACACCGGATTGTGCCTATATATTAAGTGGTAACAAAAGTTTATACTTACGCTACTCCTCTCGATTTTCCTTCAGGCGTTTCTAACATCTCCACATATGTGACATCACCAACTGGCAGGAAAAAGAAGCACATTTTGAATACTCAAAGAGGAAGGTGAACTTTGTTAACATACTATAACCGTTATACACAAAAGATTGCTTCACATAAAATGGAAACATTGTCTTTTTAACTAACCTTTAGCCTTAATGTTAAAATTGTTTAAGGACTTTATTAATATAATAATCAATATTTTTAATTGTAAGTATAAAATTATTTAATTATGTATATAACAAATGTCGGCGTCTGTGGCTTAGGCGTTGCGCACACGCTTCGTATTGCCGGTTTTGATCCCAGATGTGGACCTTGCGCTGGTTTCGACAGTAGTATCGAGAAGCTGACTGGCCCAGAAAGCAATGGCAAACTATATTGGAAGTAAATTTGCCTAGAAAAACCACAACAGCCAATGTTGGTGTTGGTTCTGCAACATCCTGTAAAGGATACGCAACTTTGAAAAAAAAAATCAAATATTTTGTCAATGCTCTGTAGTGCTTCCCAGAGGAAGACAGGCCCTCAACCAAGCCCTGTGTATACTTTCAATTTTAAAACAGAAAACATGCATACCTCCTTTCCTGAACATGTCTTTCAACTCCTGCCATTTCACATCATATGGTATGTTCCTAACAATAATACGACGGCCTCCCGTAAAAGGCCTTTGACGACCATTTTTGTTTCTTTTAGGTGAAGGTGATCTCGACCTAGATGACGATCGATGCACTGGAGAACGAGACCTGGACCGCATGCTGTGAAATTTAAAAAAAAAATTAAAAACTTTGTAACCATCAAATGATTTGTATTAAGGCAATGCCAACCTTTTAAAACTAATTTGTATATTATTTAAAATCTACATTCTGGTATGATATAGGGTTTCAAATTGAAGACCTCATAAAAATGCTTGGAAAATGGTCTGCCCTCCCTGTTTCAAATTCAGCTGGTTTAGATTTGGAAACTCTCTTACCAGTGGTTTCACACACCTAACAATATGTGAACATAACATGCATATTTATGCTGTAAGGACATTCACTGCACAGCCAACCCCAATGTAGGATGTGTGGCCTCTCGTCAGCCAAGTGTCATAAAGCTGACAGTAATATACCTTTAATAGGCAAGTAATCTGTGGTTATAACGTAACGATTTTGTGTAGTCATAACTAAGTTTAACTTCACCACTTGATTCACTTACATCACGGAGTTAAATTAATAATAATAAGTTCCTGTATGATTCACTTTGGATTTAATTGTGTTTTCATGCAGTAGCATTTCAAAGGTGGGAGAATTTTTTTTTTTTAACTTCTTCTATGTTCGATAAGCTGAGTTCTGTAAGCATGTAGTTTTCTTTAAAGGTTGGAAGATATGCTCTTATGTCAGACACTTTCTTTTTTGATAGCAAAGAACTGAACAGTAACAACATTTTAGCGATGAGCCATATTAAGCCAATAACAATTGTAATGAGCAAACTTGTACCACTCGTGCATTCTAATTTATTTGAATTTGTTAATCTAAAAGAAGTGGCAGCTTCAGAAAATGACAAAAGGTGCCTAAATTATGAACATGCAGGAGGAAAGTCCAGAATTAAAGCAGGCTACATTCTATTGTTGTTATGGTAACCAAAGTAAACAGTGACAAAATGCCTGTAACCTGTCAACTTTTCTTTAGACAGTTTGGTTCAATTAAAAACTTTGCAGTATATGAAACCCATTATTTTAGCATGCATAATTTTCTACACAGACATAAAAATTGTTGGAAAATTAACAGGTATGAATCAATTCAATCCTAGCCATCTAATTTAGCTCCTTGGCACTATAGTCGGTGAAAAACGGTCCGCAACTTACATATAACTCGGGCCCTCAGGAGTATTCTCGCGTGTCGCTATTTTTTGTCTTCCGTAGTTAATCCTAGTTTTGCCTCCGTGTAATTGCCGTAAAAACATCCGTTGCGTTTCGCGAAAATGTCGTGCGCAATTAATCCTACCTCTGACATGTATGAATTGCCGCAAAGAAAATGCGAATTTTGGATGTGAGTGAGGCTCTGTTTGGGTTTACTTTCTGCGTAGTTCTTTTGGGATCGTTATTCAAAAGAGAGCTGAATAATAATACTGCTTCAGGTAAGCGCATTCTAACCTCAAACAATATTAAATATGTAAAAATAAAAGAGGCTATCCTCCGAATAACAGGCACAAAAGATGGCGGCCAAAAAACAGGGCCTCAGTCACGTGTCAACTGCACACATCCGGCGACTACCGCCGAGAATATCCCCCACGTCGCGTGGATTGGGGCTAAATAGATGGCTAGGACTCACGAGCAAAGCTGCAGGAGATGTGGAAGCTGCTGCTCGTAAGACCCAGCCAGCTAGTTTAGCCTCAATTTACGCTGCTCGTGTGGCAGTTGCCAGAAAACCGCAAATTAAATCGACGGACAGCGCAACTGACACGTGACTGAGGCTCTGTTAGGGTATTTTTGCGGTCACCATCTTCTGTGCCCGTTATTCGGATGATAGCCTAAAAAATATTAGTCCCAGGCATCGAGTTTAACCCCCCCCCCCAATCCGCGCCACGCGGGATACTGTCGGCGGGAAGTGTAACCGGGTTTTGCCCACGCCGACAAGTTTGAGGACAGCGACGACGCTAATATGCGTCGGCACACGTGGACTCCCCACCATGTGGCTTTTATCGTCAGTAATGTTGCGTGTCTCGAAATTGTCCATGGTCGCCAGTATCGTCTGCAGAAACGCTCGAAAGTGTCAACGGTCGCTATTATCGTCTGCCGTGTTACGTCTCTTGAAATTGTCAGGTAATCCTAGTTTTGCTATGATTCGTTCGTAGCCGAAAGTTTGTATATTTTTAATAGAACTGAGCCCCGTACGTATATTTTATGGCCGCCATAATGCGGGGGTAGAAGTTCGGAGGAGAGCCAAGTAATCTAAAATCAAGTTGAAATAAATTACGTAATTACGTCCCCCTAGGGTCGCCATTCGATGGACTGTCGAATCTGTGGTCTGATCCCCACTTTTTTAATTCAAGTTTACATTGTCCCTCATCACTATATTGAAATTGTATCTGTAGGGACTACAGTTTCGACAATTTGCGATCTTTTCGGCAATTTCCGTTACCCGGAAACCGTTCAGAACTTGTTCGGGAAATCTCGGCTGGTTTCCGGATGGGTCCAAATCTCATGAAAATTCGTGATTGGTGGGAATTTGGACCAGCTATAAATAGCTGGAAACAGCGTGGGGGAACCCGATTAACAGCGCATGTCTACGACAGCCGGACTCCTCTGTTTTTCTGTTAGTCATCAGTTTGATTGAAAATAGCGGTAAATTCGAGGTTGGCTTTAGGCCTTAAACATTACCAGTTGTGGTAATGCTAGTTACAGTTGAATTCTCCGTCCAATTTTACATTTGCATAAATAAATTTCTTTCCCGACTTTCGCTGTTAGTTTAGATTTACAGTGACATTTTTTAGGCAATCGCATGCGGCTGAGTCTCACTGCCTGCCATCTTGTCCAATGACAGTCCAATGTCAACAAAGCCGATACAGAACTGCGCAGTAGGTTGCGCAGTAAAAAACTTCTTGTTTCTGGGTCACAAGTTTTAGCGGCTGTTTCTTACATCTTATCTCCACAAAAACCTACATATCTCAGCTCAGAAATGACATACAAGCCTAAATGAGGTACCATTGGAAAGAGATTGTTTACAGCTATCTAAATGTGCTGGTTTTATTGGTGTAGAGGGCATTTTAAAAATTTGACTGAAGTACCTAGTATCTGCAACGATTTTTTGCTTTTTTTTTTTTTTTTAAATTGTTTTCACAGGCTGTACTAGTAACTAAACTCCGGTGGAAAGTTATGTTTGCTTGTTGCGTCCACATCTGGATTTTAGGTTATTCGTATGCATTCTTAGTTCCTTGCCTCTTAAGACATGTTAAATGTTAGTCAGGGAGAGATCTACCCCCACCGCAAGTGTTCCCCATACGGGGCCGGCCAGGTTTTATCGATAATTGGTTACTCGGCGTGCATAAACATAAAGAGACATCTATATGTAATTGGATTACGTTTATTAACTTCTTAATCATTAATTATGAGAACACAAATTTTCAAATGGACTTACTGATCTTGTGTGGGGTCCTCCATTTCTTGTGATCACACAACGCAAAACAAGTTTAGCTATTAACGTTTGTCGTACTTCCACTTCTAAAATGGACGCTTAGAAATAGGTGAACCAGGTTTTTTCAGACAATCAAACCAAACAACCCGGCATCGACTTCAGTTAGTTGTTTTGTGTGGTGTGTGTATGTTCGAGAGGGTGAGTAGATGTGACTACATGCCGTCTCCCCAGTGGAGGTTGGCTGCAGTGGATAAGTGCATCCGGTGCTATCTTTGGAAATGTAACATAGTTATGCCTTTTAATTAATGTGGGTAGCAAATAATAACCAGTCAGTGCCGCAGCGTAAATACACGACCGGCTCCAGTTGACGGGCCGTGCTGCTGACGTCCGTAGGTAGGGCAAACGATGCGTTAAAAGCAGCGGCTCTCAAACTGGGTGCCGAGGCACCCTAGGATGCCGTGAACTTATGTTAGGGGTGTTGCGGGGATAATCAAGAAAAGTCAGCTGAATATTTAGAAATTATTAAAAAAAAGGCATGTAGATACTTAAAATTTAAGTTGTCTTCCCTCGCCACTGTCGAAAATAGTTTAATTTCTTGTTTGAGAACCACTGTGTTAGCGCATCGTTAGCCCGACCCAGTGACGTCAGCACACATCCCGTCAGTTGGAGCCGGTCGTGGTCCATATAGGTATTGTAAGCAATGCATCTGGGCACTTGGATAACATCTGATGGAAGATGCAAAACTGAGATAAGAAACAGAATAGGACAGGCAAAAACTGCATTTTATAAAATGAACAACATCTTGTGCAATATATCTTTGTCATTGAGAGTGAGAAAAAGAATTCTTGCTTGCTACATACATCTAGTTTTAGCATAAGGCTGTGAGTCCTGGACAATCGGTAGGCAGGTCAAACAATTTCTTCAGGCCTTAGAGGTTTGGTTTTACAGAAGAATGCTTAGAATACCTTGGACAGCCAAAAGGAGCAATCAAGAGGTTTTGAAAGAGGCGGGAGCCCGAGGACAACTTATCACTGACATCAGAAGGAGACAGTCATCATTTTTCGGCCATGTTATGAGAAAAAAAAGAAAATAGAACATGTGACCAGTGGAAAGATCTGTGGAAGGAGGGATGGAAGAAGACAACGAGAGAAGATTCTTGACAGTCTTGTTGCATGGCATGGAGGTGTGTCAGTAAACGAACTGATACATGCTGCATGGGGATCGCAGATTGTGGAGAAACATGATCGCCCACGCCAGTCGGCAGGGCATATGATTATGATGATGATGAAGCAATGCATACAGATAAAAATCATTAAAATGCATATATCTAGCCTTGTTGTTTTCATCTGTTTGTGAAATTTCAATAGAATGCAAAGTGCTTAAGCAGGTGAGGAAGTTTAAATAATTGTGGACAACTAAAAAATCTGATGAAAGATGTTCAACTGAAATTAAAAGCAGAATATAGAATGAGCCATTTCAAAGTATGAAAAATAATGTTATGTTGAACCAAGTGCTGTTGTGTGGTCGTGAATCTTCGAATGTAACTGAACGAATTAAGCTTAGCTTGAAGTCGTGGAAATATGCTTTCTGCGATGCATGCTGTCGGTACCGTGAACAGAGGGACTACCAATGACTGCATAGAAAAGGCTACTGAAATCGGAAAAATAGGCTATATATAATTATAAGAAAGAGGTAGTCGGTGTTCTTCAGTCATGTGATGAAAGAGTGGCATTGGAAAACATCGCGATGCCTGGAAAGATCTACAGTAGAAGAGGCAGAAGAATACCAAGAGAGAGGATGCTTAACGGCCTGAAGCGACAGCGATGTGGAATATCATCAGTGAAATCGAATCGAAATATTAAGGACCAAGATTTATGAAGAGACATGACCGCCTACGCCTCTGGACAGAAAACATAACGTTGATGATATTTTGTGTGAAATTATTTAAAAAAAAAATGTTTATGCAAGCAAGCTTATTAGGCACAATTAGATCAGAGGTTTATCGTTCCGTGGTGCTTAGGTTCTATTTGTGACCGTTGAGAATGACTAGTTTTATTTTCGTGCCAGGACATGTGGGGTACAAGGGAATGAGCAAGCTGATACGCTTGCAGGTAAGGCTACTGTGAAAGCCGCACAAGCCATGGACCAGGCTGATATACTGAATGCTCTAAGAGAGTTGATACGTTTACGTGAGCCAACTGAGAACTGTGAATCTGCAACCATGGTCAGACTGCAAGAACAACATGTTAAACGGGGTGTTGCCAAACAAGAACACTACGCGGGTAGTCAACGAAGAAGAATAAACCAACACAGAACCATGGTCAGACTGCAAGAACAACATGTTAAACGGGGTGTTGCCAAACAAGAACACTACGCGGATAGTCAACGAAGAAGAATAAACCAACACAATTCTGGTGTGGTTAACCGCTACACACTGCAGGATTTACTGAGGAGGGGATCCGAGCACTTATGGACTGAGTGGTTCGACGTGCAACGAGGATAATCTGTCGACTAACTATAACTGTTGAGAATGTGGACGGTTTGATCCAAAATGTATCCAAAGAAGCACAGAGAGCAGTGATTCCGCTTCTTTCATTTGAAGGATGTCGACCAGTGGACATTTATCGGAGAATGCAGGCAGTGTACGGTAGCAAATGTGTCTCGAAGACAACGGTGACAGACTGGGTACGAATGTTACGGAAAGGACGCGAGTTCACAACAGATCTTCCATGGCCAGATTAAGCGCTTATTGTTGCCACAGAAAAATTAATTGCCAAGATTGATGCAGCGATACAGGTAAACCGTTAAACCGTTGTCGAAGCATGAGGTCGCTTGCGAAATAATTCGACGCGTCAGTTGAAACCGTTTAAAAGATAGTTCATGAGAAACTGCAATATCGAAAAGTGTGTTCACACTGGGTACCACGGTTGTTGACCGACCACCGAAAGGAGGAACACACGGTTCACTGAGCGACCTCAGTTTTTTGCGGACGTCACCTAAGCACTGGGACAGGGAAGTAAACTGAATGTACTGCACTCCATAGACGTTGAGACAGATGAGTCAGCAATGATGAATTCCCTGTTGGAAATGGGTAGTAAACGAGGATAAGCATGCAGGATGTGGGGTAAAGAAAATATATGCTAATCCTGCTGGTGTTTTGAGGATGAAAACACATGGCTGCTGCATCAGAAGATGGGGTACGAATGGGTCGGACCAATATATTAAGCTGTTGATACGAATAATAAGTAACAAGTATGACCAGTTGTAAGCAACAATTTTGATACGTGTTGTGAGTCATTTTATTGGTGTTATTTTGAGGGGGGGGGGGGGGCGGGTCGGCGTAGTGCTGTGGTTTTTGATCCGCCTTCTGGCCCAGTATTTCCAAGTTCAGGATCTGTTGCTCATAAAAATTTCCAGCTAAATGCCAGGATTTTATTTATAGCTAATTCTAGTTGTTTTCTGTGTTCATCCTTAACAGTGCTGGGTCTAGTTGTAAATTGTTTGATTTATCCCTAGCCACTGAAAGATTTTCATTTCCTTGCTGTGTGGTACTTTGAGTATACAGTGCTAGGCCACATTTTACTTTATGTATATTGCCATATTTTAGACATCTTTAGACCAGTCTGTTACTTTGGGATCCGCATTCGCTAACACAGGCAGCACTTTAATACCATGGGGATGGACTAATGTCACCCCTACGACCCTACCCTGGTTACGCCTTATTGGCCAACCCCTCCCTCTCTCTTTAGACACTCAGTGTACGCTAGTGGGTCTGTGGGCATCTACTTCGCCAATTTCCTGGGTACACTGACCTCGTTTTTCGCTCCCTGTCGACGCTTTGGTGATATATAGGCTAGTAGCTGTCCTAGTCATCCTCTTGAACAAGTATTTCATCAGGGACACAGATGAGTATAATTTATTTTGTATATTAGAGTCCTATGCAGTCACTTTATAGTTAGAGCATATTTGTGTATGTGTACTGTGTTGTTCGTTATGTGCTGAAGAAGGCAAAGTTCTGAATCAAGACTTAAGTCTAGAAGTGTATGAACAACCACAACTTTCTGCTGGAGTTTACAGCTGGTGAACACTAAGAAATTGAAGACTATATCTTGTAAAGTAACGACGGTTGGTATGATGTTGACAACATTACCCATTGAGGGCCAATTGGTTTGTAAAAATCTGTCTAGCATAATATCCTAAATGCACCACCGGTGTAAAAAAAAAGGGTCCTTTAAATTTACTTATGTATGACTTCTGACCAGGCAGTGCCTGATGAGGGATATGGTGATTATCACACTGGCTGCCTTTACTTCTCAACTCAAGAAAACATATTATCAATGTTATGCAGCTGGGTCAACCATTTTTAAAAAATCCCAATCTTGAGGGGGATTTTATTCCAAGAAAATAGCCCCATACTCTTAACTGCACCATAGCTGTGCACTTGAAATCAAGCAGTCTGACTTGCTTGTTGTACCCCACCAGGACATCACACAAGCGATAAACACCCAGTGACACAAAGTGCCACCATACGGATGAGGATCACCGTGGAGAGGTCCCAGAAACCGCGTTCAGACATTTGGCCATAATGATGACCTGCCTATATTGCGGCCCCTGGCAAAAGCCAGAGTGGGGCTTCAAATAACAAAAAATAACGTCCTAAGAAGGATGTAAGGTCTGCGCGGTCTGACAGAAAACAGTTAACATTAAAATAAAAGAAAGGCATACAAATTCTTGCGCTATATATTTTAATAGTTAATTTTTTTCAAAACATTGACATACTTTATATCACTTCTTTACATTAATTTTTATACGGCAGTGAAGAGTAAAATGTGAACATTTTAGGTAAGCAGAGCTGGAGGCAGCTGACATGTGGATTCTGAAATAAATACTGTGAATATATTGGACAGCTAAAGTAACTTTTAACCTCCCCTTGTCTTGTGGGTTCCAGGACCTCGTGTGGAAGGGGGGGGGGTGATAGTTAACCTGCCCCTAACAAGCATGTTATAAAAGATGACTAATTAGGGGT